TTAATTTTTTATTTAAAATTTATTTATAATACTATATATCTATTTATTTAATAATTATAAATTTATTTATAATAATATATATCTATTTATAATTCTATTAACATTATAGCATTATAGCAATAATATTGCCATCCTAAAAATATCACGTTTTTGTGTATGTATATAGTGAAGGTAGCGGTAATAACATGCGCTTGGCAAAGCTTTTCTTTGTCATTAGATGATTTTTGACTTTTGAGATCAAATTCTCAAACGTTTAAAGTTTGTAAGTTTTCTCTATATTTTACAATGAGTCATAAATGTTTGAACTCTTTTCGCAAGTTTTTTTTTCCTTTTGAAGATACCAAGACTTATAAATAGATTTATAGCATGAGAAATATGAAGGGTTAATTTATTGATAACAAATGAGAAAAATTGTCTTATTGTACTATTTTATATCTGTAAATTATCACATAGATGGCTGCCTAAGCTTGTTACTGGGTTTTATAACTTTTTATGTCAAACTTAATGTAGGTTAAACTAAATGTAGTTACAATTTAATTAAGTTGTTAATGATAGTTGATTTTATATTTATATAATATAATTTTCTTTTAATTGGGGATTGTGACATAATGTGAAATAATATACAGCATCTTTTTAAAATAATTTAAAATAATTTATTGGAATTTCCCTGCAACAATTTTTTAAATGCTAGGAAGAACATTTTACTAAAAGTAAGTTTTCTTCTAAGATCCATCAAACATGCTTTATGTATGTATGTATGTTTTTTATAACGAAAAAATGATATAATGTGAAAACACTCTAGACTTAAATATAAATGTCATCATCAATGAATAAAAGAGGAACCAAATGAAATGGAGCTGAAATTCCATTTTTCTTTGGCTTTTTTTTTTTTTTTTCATTTTCTATCCTTTTAACATCGGAGAATTTCGGGAAGGGATTTTCTTCTTTTTTTTTTTTAACATTGAAGTGACAAATGCGATAAAAAATTCAGCATCAATAAAAACAAGGTTAAATGTTAATTTTGGTCCCTTAATTTTAAGGTTTTGTATAATTTTTCTCTTTTAATTTTTTATATATTTTTTTGGTCTCTCACTATAAAAAATATACTTATTTTTTAATA